GCCGCCGCCGCCACTTCCTCCCAGTGACCGTCCCTGTGCGCTTGCTGCCCGCACCCCGGGCCGGCCGGCCTCGCCAAGCTGACCGGACTGGCGTCCTGAGGACCCTGGGGCAGCGGAAGCAGCGTCGCCTCGGCCGCCGACGGCCCCTTAAAGGCGCCGCGCCTTCCCCTTGCAGCCCTAGGGGGGTAGCTTGTGTCGGGCACCCGGATGGTGCAGTTTGGAAGGGGGGGCCGGGAAAGTCCTTGCCAAAGGGTTTTACTTCTTAAAGAGGCGTTTGGAGTCACGGGATGCCGTCTTCTGGGGTGAAGAGCCACGGAGTTTTGCTCAGAAGCATCTCTCCCCTCAAATGTGTGTTTGATCACGGTCAGGCCCCCAACGCAACTCGCTGGTATTTGGCAGTGTGCGGAGGGAGGGGGGTCATGAGTGAGTGGGGATGGATCAGAGGCACCCATGATGTCCTGGAGGAGACGGACCTTGGCTCAAGATGGGAACCATGGCCAACCGGGAATGAACTCTGACCCAGGACTCTGACCAACTCACATTCTGGGTCCTCTGCCACCCAGGAGGAACCCTGGTGGGGCCATGGTTGCACGTTGGGCTGCTCACTGCAGGGTCAGCAGTTCAAAACCATCAGCCAGCTAGCTCCTCAGGAGAAAGACAGACAAAAGAGTTACAGTCTCAGTAACCCACAGGGGTGGGTCTACCCTGTCCTATGAGGTCGCAATGAGCCACCATCTAATCGTTGGTAATGTGTTTGTTGTTTTCAACCAAGGAGCAAAGGACAAGGACTAGAAGCTTCAGGGATGCGGGTGAAGCAGTCACAGCAGGCCCCAGGCCAGCCACTGGGTCCTGGATAGCCTAGTGGTTTGCCCTCAGCTGCTAACCTCAGGGTTAGAGATTGAAGCCCAAGTAGGCTCAGCAGAAGAAAGGCTTGGAGGTCCACTTCCATAAAGACAATCAAAACCCTATGAAGCAGTTTTACTCTAGCACAAGCAGTTTCAGAACCCTGTCCTATAGGGGCGCCATGAGTCTGCAGCAACTCCATTGGATGGCTTTGGGATGAAGATAGGTAGGGCTAGAGACACAGAGAAATGAACCATGTGGTTGTTTAGTCCGGTGCCATCAATTCTGTTCTGAACCAAAGTGACACGAGGCACAACAGAAGGAAACACTGCCCGGTCCTACGCCATCCTCACGATTGTTCCATATTGCTGGGCAGGGCAAAGGACTGCAAGGAGAGTGGAGGAGATGTTGTACATGAACTGGACAAGAACAACTCCGATTTTGGTAAAAAGCAAAACAGTTTATGAAAGGGGACAGAGGAGAAAAAGAACCTGCGCAGGGACCAGCTCTCTGAGGAGGGAGAGCGCGGTCCCGATTGCTCACAGACTTGGGTTTTTATAGGGTGGGGTAAACAATGGGGCTTTGCAGCTGTGCAAGCAGGAACAGAAGCAGACCTTGCGGTTAGCCTTTAGCTGAACATTTTGGGAACTTTATAAGTTTCTGATCACAATGTCCTGAACATTCCGGGGACCTTTATCTGTAAGTTTCTGGTCATTACGTCCTCTAGCCCCTTTGTGGCTACTAAGTTTTGATTTTCCAAGCATTTGAGTCATTTATGGGAACTACCCCACCTCCCTTCTTGTAAGACTTTTAAATACAAAATGGCTTTGCTGAGGCTGTGTCCCACAGAGACAGGACCTGAGAGGCCAGCCAGGGAAGGCTTTGCATGCCTTGGCTCAAGAATAGGGAGTGTTTAGGCTACCGGGAGCTCTGGTGGCATGGTGGTTACGAATTGGGCTGTGACCCTGAAGAACAGCAGCTTTAAACCACAGTGCAGGAGAAAGATGGGGCTTTCTACTCCCGTAAAGAGCTACGGTCTTAGAAACTCACAGGGGCAGTTAGTTCCACCCTGTCTATAGGGTCGATCCATATGAGTCCACATCAACTCAATGGCAGTGAGTGTTTTTGAGTGGGAGCCCTTGGGGTGCTGCAGGAAGGGGATGGCAGGGCCAAGGACCAACTGTGCGCCTCTAAAGATGGCTGAGGGGTGGGGTGAAGAAGAGGGGGATTAGAACAAGAACATTCTCCGGGGCCAAGGCAAGAAGTGAAAAAAGGAAGGCTGGCAGCTGGGTAGGGCAAGGGGGACTAAAAAAACCCCAAAACAGTTATGACCATTTAACTGGAAAGGCCTGATTAGAACAACAGGCATGAAGGGTGTAATCCATTCTGCTTCCATGGATTGTCAAGGAAACTGTAGGTCAGGCTCTTCAAGTATGGATAGGGGTTCAAGATGGGGGACTGGGGGTGATAGGCAGAGTAAAAAGGCACTTGGGGGGACCCCTGAGGCAGTGGAGGGGTCTGAAGACAGCTTTAGTATCTTGGATGGGTAGGGGAAGGGCCTGAGGCAGATTGTGTATCAGAATGGATTAGGGAGAGGTCTGAATGCAGTGTTTGTATCTACGTGGGGCTGCTGAGGTGATGTGTGTATCGGGATAGGTTTCTCCAGGGCCCTGAATCAGTGTGGGTACAGTGAACCCTCGTTTATCGCGGTTAATCGGTTCTAGACCCTACCGTGATAAATTAAATTCCGCGAAGTAGGATTCCTTATTTGTAAATCAAATATTTTCGTAGTTAGAGCATAGAGGACATGAAAAAACACCCTTTAGTCACCATTACA